ATTTTTGAAGTATTAAAAATCTTAAAAGATTCATGTAAAAAGAAAAGAATTAAACTTTATGAAATCTTTAAGTTAATATAAATTTGTAAAGTGAAGAAATATAAAAAGTTTTTAAATTTAAGAAGAATCAATAAAGGCTATCCAGATATAGTAATCCTGACATATAAAAAAAAAGAAGAAAAGAAAGAAAGAAAAAAAAAAGGGATTAAAAATTATCGTGAAAAGAAAAGAAAAAGAAAAAAAAATATATGGGGAGAAGCTTGAGGAGATGCCTAATTAAAAATTGGCTTCACTTGAATCAACTTAAGGAAAAAGACTTGAACACATTTTCTAACCTTTTTATTTGAATGTTAACTTAATTATTAATAAATTTTTATGAAGTTCTTTTTCATATGAATTTGCTAAGTGACTTTAATATAACAAATTGCAATTTTTCTTGAAAGAAATAGAGAATAAAAAACCTTAGATTTAATATCTTTACACCTTTAATATTAACTGGAGTTGTTTTAACTTTTTCTTAAGTTATACTATTATTTTTGCAAAACTAAAATATGGAAGTCTAAAAGTTAAGGTCTTTATCATAAGACATTTTTTTATGTAGTAAAGGAGTTACTTGAGGACAAGTAACATATAAGTTTGGGGGATTTTGATATATCAAAAATATATGCATTTTTAGACCCATATTTTATAACTATTTTTGATGATATTGCACTTTAATGAAAGTTATTTTGATGTTTTCTTGCAGGTTGTTGATTTTTAGGGCTTAAAGCAAAAAGAAAGCAAAAAGGATGAAATTTGGAGTCAAAATGACGTTTTTGAAGAAATGCTCAGCACCTGCAGCACCGAGGCCAGCACCGACGGTGCAACTCCAGCCCGGAGCACGCCCCCGACGGTGCAAAACAAATTAACACGGAGATTTTTTACTCAGCGCCAAAGGTGACAGATCAGCGCCGACGGCGTCAGTTTTTTGAAGAGTTTTTGGAGGCACCTCTTGGAGAACCGACCTTGGGCTCTATTTGGGGTCGAATTTCATTGGAAAAAGCTCTCCTCTACGTTTTTCACTCCTCTACTTTCATTTTTCGCACCACATCATTCCATTCCACTTCCATATTGGAGTCAATTAGTGATTTTATTTTCATAGTTTAGAGTTTTTTATGGTGAGATTTAGTGTGAACCTTTCTGTAAGAGTGTTGGAGAAGGATAAAAGTGAGAGATGTCTTCTTCTTGCATTTCTAAGGAAAGACTACAAAGGATTTGCTTTGAGAAAGAGTTTTCAAATAAGTATTGTTTGTTTAAGTGTTGTATGAACTTTCTTTTTATGAAATTTGTGTTTTGTTATTTCTTTTTCATGAAGTTTGAGTAGTTCCCTCTTTCTTTCTCCCTACTCTGAGGTATGGTGAAATGAGGAGATAATATGAATGTGTCAATATTAAATTGTAAAATAAATTGTGATGATTTTTCAACTTCAAACTTAATTTACTTTTTGATCTGGCCAATTGAACTGTTAAAATGTATTGTGAAACATAAAACATCATTTATGAAATTAAGTGCAAATAAATAGGGAAATATTCTTTGTTGGGTGTAGAATTGGAGAACCTTTAGGGTGACAGACTAAAATCTTCAATTTAGTCTCAGTGTTTAAAAACTGAAGCGATTGCTAGCCTTCAGGTGAAGGGAAGTGGGAGCTCTGGAGTGGGAGCTGGTATCCTCCTAGCCTAGCCACGGATTTAGGGACTAAACACTGAGATTAGCCAATGATTTTCTATGCACTGTATCAGGGTAGAGAATTAAAATTGCTCCTATTTGGCACAATACATATTATGAACATTTATCTCATCTCATTTTACCATAGACTCATTGTAGTAGGAAGGTTGTTTTTTCACATAAGAATCTCTGTTGCATAAACATAGTTAATAGATTAGTATTTACTGTTTTAAATTTTGCATATTTGATTTGATAATAGTTTAGAAATTTAATTTTGATTACATCTCAACAATTGAAATTAGTGACAGTGATTTCAATTGGCTTTCTGTGAATTTTCTAGTAAATTTGTCATTTCTAATTTAAACATTCCCCGTAGGATCGATATTTAGGGCTTAAATATAAAGTCCATTATTACTTGATAACGATACGCATACTTGCGTAGAATCTGAATATTAATTGATTATATTTAATTAAATTTTACACAATCTATCGCAACAAAAAAGTCAGATCATTAGGCTAAGTGGCTAAAGTCGTTTGTGTGGTCACACCCGATTGTAGCGTAGTCATGCCATTTGTCTTCGATAGGAGACGTGGTTATGCCACTTTGGGTCACTTTTTCTCTAGATTTTCGCATTTCAATTTTTTTCGTATTTGACCCCTACAATATGTACAATATCAAAAGAAAACATTTCTTAAGCATAAATCAGTGATAAATATGTAAAAATAATATGTAACTTGCTGGGAAAATTGCTTGTAAAATCGTATAAAATTGATGCATGTCGTATAACCTAAAGGTGTGGCAATAAATTATCATTGTTGAGATTTATTGCTTAAACACTAGCCTTCAACATATTTAAAAGTAAAAAATAAAAATTTTGTCAAATAGATATAGTAATTATCAGGAGAAAGAGAAAAAGAAAAAGAAAAAGAAGAAAAAAAGAAGATAAAAGTCAAAATGTAAAAGACCCTGAGAAGAAGCATGAGGTTGGCGTAACAAAATTCAAGAAAAAAGGAACCAAAAAGGTGTTTAGTGGAACCTAAGTGATAAAGCGTTTCATAAATCCTTAATTAAACTCCTTAAAATTATCTTAAGAGCATAAAAGTTAAGGAATATTAGGTTGGCTAAATTCACTAAAACGGTTTTAAATATATCCAAGGTTACTGAAAGATATTTTAATTAATAACAACATAAGAATCTATGGGATTTCTTAAGGACAAAATGAAGAGAATTAAGAAAAAGATCGAGTTGCTAATCATTAAAGATAATTGATCTTGAAAGTATAGCAATTCTTTTGTAAAAATAGCTTGAGAAGTGCCTCATATTGCGCAAGTTTAAACAAAGAGGCTAAAAAAATCGAATTAGCTAACAGGTCGTTTGAAATCGCTTTTATTTTTTATTTTTCTAGTTTAATTTTTTGATTTAAATTAAAACATGTTTGATTGGGATAATTATTTTTAAAACACTCAAAACATCATTTGAACGTTTTGAGCATTTTAAAAATAAATTCATTTATTATTAAAAATAAAACACATAAAAGTTATACTAACCAAACATTTTTTTCAAAAGCAAAATAAAAAATAAAAAATAACAAATAACAAATAAAAACAAGGAACAAAGGTGATGCCAAAGGCCCTAAATATATAATCAATCTAAATAAAAATACTTATTTAGTTCTCCTATAAGAATCAAAATTCTTGCCAGGGTGATTAGCAAATATTAAAATATTTAAAGCCAACATGTTTTTTTTTAATTGATATGGGTGAGATCTGCTTCTAAGACCTTGGTAACAACCTTCAAAGGGCTTTATTAGCTAGGCTTGCTAGTACAAGCCTAAAAACCCAAATTTTCAGTGTAAATAAATCTTTATTTATCACAAACAAAATATAAAAAAAAACATCAATCCAGAATACCTATGGCTGATTTTAATAAAAATCACAAAAAAAGTCCACAAATAAATTTAACTTCTTACCCGTGCACTATTGAAAACTATGGTTTTACAGTCTGGAAGGATACTAATAGACCAAGGAGGAAGGTCATAATGCATTCCATTAAAAGTAACTCTAGCATAAGATTTCACATCATAGTTGGCAAGAAATGCAGCACAGTCTCCAGAATTTGACCTGAAAACATGTGACTGATATGATAATAAGTGTATAAGTTAGTGTATGCCTATTGTAAGCATTCATGTTCATTTAGAAAATGAAAAAAAGATATAAACAATTATACTTCTTGAGAATTTCCCAAATAAGTCACAACAGGATCACTAGAAACCAAAGCCATCTCACACAATTTGATAGCTCTATGTAGATCTCGCAAGTGGCCCCATTTTGGTTGCCTCAATAGACCTAACAAATAAAATGACTAAAGTTGTATAAATTACACAATTTTAGTGAAAATAGATTGAATCTACTCAAAAATAGAAGATGAGTCATCTAGCTAGGGATTTTGTATATTTGTAAATAAATTTGAAGATGCAATAGAACATGTGAAGTTTAGATAACATATACGGCTAAAGAAACAAATGGCCTACAGAATAACATAAAGGACAACAGAAGATAATCTTCATAATCATAGGCTTTAATGAAAGGGGGTCCTCAGCAAATTAGAAATAAAAAAAAAACAAAAAAATAGTATTTAAATTGCATCAACAAAGAGTTCTCACTCACCAAATTCATCAATTGGAGCATCATAGTCATAACTAGTTGCAATGAAAGGACCACCAGCTGTGCGGCCAAAATTCGTTCCTCCATGGTACTAGAAATAATAGCACACAAATTAAAACTCGGATCCACATGAACAATTTGAATCAGAACAACAGGAGTTCTTACCATATAGTAGTTGACAAAAGATCCACCTTTCTGTATAAATTTCGCAACAGAAAAGGCCAAGTCTTCAACAGGCCGATGTGGCACAGGAACTCCAAATCCAGTGAACCTTGGCATTACAAAAATAAGCATGTTATGTCCCCTAAATCGTAAACAAAATAAGCACATAGGACCTAAGTAAAACTGCAAGATTCAATCTAAGGCCATACTGATAAACTTACCAGGATGTCCAAACTTCTGTCCACATGGTAGGTTTATAAGGTTGGTTTGGGTAGAAGTAATCACAATAAAAACCATTGCAGGTGTTAATCTGTCAAAACCGAAAAAGATTCATCACTATAATATAAGAAAAAGAACCCAGAAAGATCAGAGTTTGAGCTGAAAAAATTCAAGCAAAATGAATGGCAAACAAGACAATAAGACTTCACAAATGAAAGGAGGCTGTGAGGTTGTGAACAGAAGCCCAGAGAGTTCGATAAAATCATGTATTTGAGCAATGATAGGCTAAACAAAATAAATATAATATAAGCCATAGGGCACCTAATTGATATTCAATAATTCTTGAATGCTTCAATTGCAATAGTCTATAAGATCTGATTGAAACAACTAAAGAGCAGTTATTACTTACAACAGGATCGGGAGCATCATCTTGTTTGCACATGATCCATGGGACTCCTGTGTCGAGACCGACCGCCATTCCTGCAGCCCATGCTACATAGTTCTTGGCAGGTTCTCCTTGATCATACTCGGGTGGCCCAAATTCGTTCTCAATCTACACCATTACATCATAAATCAATTAATATATATATATATATATAATATTCTTAAAAGCCAAATGATTTATTTTAAAAATAAAAAATTATAAAGTACACAAAAAAACATGTTCTTAAAATAGAATAAAGTCAAAAATAAACATTGAAACGAAATTGATGCCAAATTACTCCTAATTTTTGCATTGATTTGGATTTATTTTAATATAATATAAACATATAAGATATATGTTGGACAAAACTGAATATTCAGATCGAAATTATTCAAGTAAAATTGCACAGCACCCAAAAATGAAGTGCAATAGAGCATATAAAATAATATTACTATTTAGATAATATATACTAAACATCCTCCAAACCTTTCTTTTTGAAAGTTGATTAACTTAAATTACTTTTAAATAAGTTAATCAAGGAGTAAAGCAGAGCTAGTGATCCCATAATTATGGATAATTAAAAGAGATAGATTCCAGCTGCTTCCAAGCCTGATATTCCATTGTCAGCTTTATGGCTGTGAAATTAAAAGGAAATGCCCACCACCATTTGCTTTAATTAAAATACTTGGAGTGATTAAAGCCAAGAAAATAAGCCTTAACGTTGGAAATGCTTGCCATGACATGGCCAAAAGCAAGGAATTCTTCTTGTGATGTTCATCACTTGTAAGTGGAATGGCATTTATATGACCTTCTCGGTTTCTACAAATATTAACTAAGGATATTAATATTCTTATATTAATGAAATTTTATGTTCAATATTTGTGCTAGAATTAGAGTATCTTTGGCACCCTCATTCTTTATGTTCTTCATGTTGCTCGTGGCACTACTTTGGTCCCCATCTTACTCCCTATGCTTGTTTTTTCTACATATGATTAATAAGGGAAAAATTCCCTTTTGCCTACTTTATGCTTAGGGTAGAATATTGAGCTCAGGACATTTTCTTTAAAGGATTAATTTGGGGATAAAATTGCAAGCCAGCGATAACTATCCTTGAACATTATGGACATCATGATAAACATTTTATATTAGCTTCATGACAATTCAGACTAAATAAAGCTTCTTTTTTGGGCATATTTAACGATCAAAATCAGGCTCTTTGTATCATTCATTTTATTCTAACCCATGTTATGTAACTTTGAACACACATTCTAGTGGCATTGTTAAATGCCAAGGAAAATACTACATGAATTTAACTTATTACCAAAATAATCGGTAAATTAATTACCGACGGTTAAACTACGGTTAATTTCACGTAGCTAAATGCTTATTTGTAATATATTTGCTTACCGATTTTGAGACGATTTTTTTAAACCGACTGTTAAATAGTTTAAATGTCAGTTAAACATAAATAAATACCGATAGTTTTATCTATAGTGTCGGGTTTCCACAAAAAAAGCGTAACATAACCGTTGGTTAAACATTGAT